TTTTGCACAAAAGATAACATAGTTAATCAGAAAAAGTTTTTATCTAAAATTTGTATGTCAAATGCAAAATATATGATGTTTATATTCAAAATGATCACCAAATTATAAGAATTCCAGCAATGGAAATTATATTCTGGCCGGGTAATTTGTATGAATTTTATGAGCTAAAACAAATATCTTCAGTTAATAAAAAAAAAATAATCTTCAGGACACTATCTGTCAATCAAAGTACCCCACCTTGCCTTCCCCCCTCTTCCAACCGCACGGTCAGTCACAACCCTCCCCCCCACCCCCACCAATCATCCCTTCAAGAGAAGAGTGGGTGAAAAATTTAGATTTTAACATTTTGTAATAAATATTACCTCAAACTAAAGTTAGGATAATATAATTGACGTTGCTGGATTCCTTGTAAGACCAGGAATATTTTGAATATAAATGTCATATATTTTGCACAAAAGATAACATAGTTACCCAGAGAAAAAATTTTATCTAAAATTTGTATGTCTAATGCAAAATATATGATGTTTATATTCAAAATGATCACCAAATTATAAGAATTCCAGCAATGTAAATTATATTCTAGCCGGGTAATTTGTATGAATTTTATGAGCTAAAACAGGCAGTCAGGCAGGGTGGCAGGGGGGGCAAATCTAAAAATAGCGTCTCCAGCCGGACACTCACCGCGTATATGTGGAAAAAATCCGTGTTAAGTGAAAGTTCAGCTCTGGCGAGGCACCGCGTATATGATAAAACGCGTTAAGTGAAACCGCGTTAGGCGGGATAATACTGTATATATATATACATAATTTGATAAAATCAAACGGGAAAATGGAAACAACGGAGCACCTTAGCTTTCGTCTTTATTCAAGACATCTTCAGAGGCAACTGGACTACATGGACAAAGAGAGGCTTAAATATACAGGGTGACCTTAAAAACATGAGGTTAGGTCATAATGATGTCATCCACTAATCCCCACACCAACACACACGTAGAGGAGCTTAAGAGAAGGGGGTTGACGTGACTAGTCAGGTCAGGTCAAAAATAAGGGACCTACAAAATAACTATCATACATCTAGATCAAAGGTTTTCAAAGCATTTTTAACCTTGGGCCACTGACAAATAAATTTATGTAACATATTATCAGTTTTGAACTGACCATCACTTAGGTCTATTGATTTTAATTCCTTAATCAAACTAGCTTCAACCAGAAGTCTTTCTGTGACACAAGATGATTTAAATACTTCTAAGCTTTTTTCCCAAGCAATGGGGTGATTATTATTCCTAACATGAACGAACAAGGCACTGCTTTCAGATGCAGTTCTGATATTATACTTATGTTGTTTGATTCTAAGCTGCAGTGTTTTTCCTGTTTGTCCTACATAATTACAATGGAACAAATGTGTTTCAATTCATTGTCAATAAATTCAGAGTCACAAATACGCAGACATCTTAAGAACATAGTAGAAAAAACTGACATTTTGGTAGACTCGGGTACCCTTCTGTGTTTGTTGATCGTTGTTTTAAAAGGGCTAAAAAATCCTTTCATTCCTCTCAAACCAGACATGTTCCTACACTTAAGAATATTTTGACTCTGCCCTATCGTAATGAATTTGTCCCGTTAGGTCGGTCTTTCAAGCTTATAAATATTAATGTTGTTTTCAAGTATGACTCAACCATTACCAATATGTTAATAAGGAATAGCCCAAGTTTAAATGTAAATGGAAGTGTTTATTGTATTCCATGTAGCAAATGTAATTGTAATTATGTAGGACAAACAGGAAAAACACTGAGTTAATATGTTATCTTTTGTGCAAAATATATGACATTTATATTCAAAATATTCCTGGTCTTACAAGGAATCCAGCAATGTCAATTATATTATCCTAACTTTAGTTTAAGGTATTATTTATTACTAAAAGTTAAAATTAGTTTTTTCACCCAACATTTCTCTGGTAGGGGTTGGGGGGGAGGGTTGGGACCGACCGACCATCTAGCTCGGTTGGAAGAGGGGGGGAGGCAAGTTGGGGTACTTTGATTGACAGATAGTGTCATGAAGAATATTTTTTTTTTTATTAATTGAAGATATTTGTTTTAGCTCATAAAATTCATACAAATTACCTGGCCAGAATATAATTTAAATTGCTGGAATTCTTACAATTTGATGATCATTTTGAATATAAACATCATAGATTTTGCATTAGACATACAAATTTTAGATATAATGTTTACTCTGAGTAAATATGTTATCTTTTGTGCAAAATATATGACATTTATATTCAAAATATTCCTGGTCTTACAAGGAATCCAGCAATGTCAATTATATTATCCTAACTTAAGTGTTGTTTAATTTTCTTTGTTTAAAGGACTGTACAGGTAGTCATTTTCTGTTAAACTTATACAGCAAATATAACCATCAGTTTTCCGGCATTTTCGAAAATCCGGCACTCCTTAGGTCCCGAGGTTGCCGGATTTTTTATAGTCAACCTGTATTGTTATTATTATCCACTCTGTATCTGTATTTTTCTGGTTAAATAAACTGTTACAATTCAATTCATTTAAAAAAAAACTGTGTCTACAATTCTTGCGCAGAAAGAAAAATTTAAAGAAGTGAAAGTGAGAGATAAAGCTACCAGAGTGCTTAAAGGTAGATCATTAGTAGCAAAAATAGAGGTTACTTCTTATTTGGATTAAAGAAAAACAAATGAAAGGAGATTCAATTTTATACTGGATTTATTTGTGAAAGAGCCTGGGAAATATAGGAACATTTGAAGGAAGATCAACCTAGATCTTCTGAAACTGACTTTCAAGAGTTTAGGGCCAGCAAGAGCTGGTTCGATAAATTTAAGAAAATAAGTGATAATTTTTAGTGTTGTTAGGCATGGTAAAGCTGCCAGTGCAGATAAAGAAGGAGCAGCAAAATTTGTAGAGGAGTTCAAGGAACTGATGGATGAAGAAATTATCTGCCCAAAAGGACATTCATCATCAGAGATGAAGCTTCTTTACTTGGGCATAAACCCATGAAGGACCGTCTCACTCTATTGTTTGGTGCCAATGTTTCAGGGGATTTCCGACTGAAGCCTATGCTTGTCTATCAGTCTGAGAACCCCAGGGTGTTCAAACAACAAAAAGTGATAAGAGGAAAGCTTGAAGTTTATTGCAAGTCCAACCATAAGGCATGGGTGACAAGACAGCTCTTTAATGAATGGGCTGTTGAGGTGTTTTGCCCTTCTGTCAAGAGCTACCTAACCACCAATAAACTCCCTTTAAAGGCTCTTCTCCTTATGGATAATGCCCCTGGTCATGACCCTGAACTTGCCAGCACTTTGGAGGCTCAATTTGACTTTGTCAAAGTGTTGTTTTTGCCTCCCAACACTACATCAATCATACAGCCAATGGACCAGAATGTGATCAGCAACTTCAAGAAGTTGTACATGAAGAAAATGTTCAGGAGGTGTTATCAGGCAACTTCCACTGATGCTGTACTAACACTGACACAGTTCTGGAAGACACAATTTAACATCCTGCAGGCTGTAAAATTGATTGTGTCCTTATGGCGAGAAGTCTCCACTAGATCTCTCAATTCTGCACGGAAAGCACTGTGGCCATCAGCAGTTCATGATTTTGAGTGATTTGAAGAAGAAGCAGAGTTGGAGAAGAAGATTGTGTCCATTGGTCAGTCATTGGACCTCGAAGTGGAGGAGGTTGATGTGGAAGAGCTTGTGATGTCTCATGAGCAGGAACTTACTCCCGATGACTTGCAGCAACTGGATGAGATGTTGGAGGCTGACAGTGGTGAGGAGGAAAGGGAAAGTGATGACTGTATGTCTACTTCAGATTTGAAAGATGTTGTTCACTACTGGGATAAGTTCAGGAAACTGGCTTCAAGGCACCCAGATGTGGAAACAACAGAACCTATTTTGTGTAATGTTGAGGACAGAGTGGTCTCCTTCTTCAAACATCAGTTAATGATGAGGAGGAGAAATGCCCCACAACCAAAAATTTACAGTTTCTTTACTAAAAGGCACCGGGAAACAGATGCTACCACTCAGCCTTCCACTTCCAAGAATGAGAGAGGATGTTCCTGCTGGAGAATCTGTCAGCCCAGAGGTTCCTGACATTTTCATGTAAAGTGACTCACTTTCCAAGAAGCAGTAAAATGCTTCTCCTCCACCCCCACTTCCTTCTCCTCCTCCACCTCCCACTTCAAATTCACATCAGCATCATCATCCAGGAGCCTTCTACATACACACCTCAAAGTAAGTGTACTTTACTGTATTTTTTTTTTTTTACTTTAGGTAATTTTCGGTGAGCTGGAACCAATTAACCAAAAACCCATTGAAACAATGGTTTCGGTTAATGAACAACCTTCTGGAACGAATTGTGTTCGTTAACCGAGGGACCACTGCATACAGTATATACGTAAACCTCGTTGAATGATTAACGGCCAGCATCATACATTGTATTCATCATTGGTATTTTTTTTTCCTTATAGTGAGAGGACAGCACTAACATTAAGAATAAACTGTGTTATGGTGATTGTGAAGTGATTTTTTTTTCAATTTTTGTGACTGTAAAGTGCTTCGCCTCTGTTATTGTTAAAATGATGTGAGCAGTGTCGGCCGCTATCATTGTGTTTATGTTATCATCATTCGCTCTGTTTTTGTGACTGTGAAGTAAGCAATGTAACTTTGAAAATGTCTGGAAAGGTCAAGGCATCTAAGACAACCATATCTCCGAGGTGAAGCTTGATATTTTTAAGCGGTATGAGACTCCCCCAAAGGCTGTGTGAGAGTCAGAGTAACGTCTCCACTCCACCCACAGGCTTATTCTTCATGATGTGGTGAGTGTTGTTTAATTGTTTTCTATTGATTTTATAAGTGTAGAAATATTTTTGTCACATATACATGTGTGTTTGGGAACTGTACTGGGAATGTATACCATTGAACCCCATGTTTTACCTGTACCTGACCATCAAGTGACACACAATGTCAGTACTTACCTGTGCGGCACCTACTGCAGCAAGGATGGCACTGTCATTTTGAGGAGAAACAGATGAGGGTGAGTTCTGTGCTATTCTGATAAGAACATTCTTACTGCTTCCTGAAAGAAAATATGAAGAAGCATTAACATCATACATATAACATACTGTACTGTGTAATGTATACATACCCGCTGTAGTTGTTTACTTCAATACAAAATTGAGGAATATGACTTTGCAGTGATAGCATAATGCTGTGCAGAACAAGTACAGTACAATTCCCTTGTGCTATATTTCTATTATACTTTTAACAAGCTTTGAAACAGTTACCTGATATATTGCACAACCCTTGATATAGAAGACCATTAACTGTTTGAGCACCAACTATGATTTCAGAGTCGTTCAAGAAAAGTTTGATTTTCATCCCCTGAGTGGTTATATTGATGAAGTTTTTATGCAGTTCAGCATGCCCTTAAAATTCATTGATTTTAATTCGCGGCCTTCGATTATATATTCTCGGATGACACCCTAGATGTACCCAAGAATGTTTGCAGGTAGGGTGGGCCATGTGCGCTTACTCCGCCTTTGTGACAGTCCGGGTTAAACACTTGTCCATTTCGCGTGTGTGCTACTGTGCTCCTTGTGCTTGTGATGGCTCCCAAACACCCTCAACCACCTTCATCCAGCTGCAGCAAGGTGCCCAAACAAGTGAAGTGAGAAAAGAAGGTCATGTATTTCTCCCATGTGTACGCCTGACTACCCCTGGCAATAGAAACGGGTAAGTGGAGTGAGTGACAGCTAGTTAGTGCATCATTTGCAGTTGTAACTCTCCTCACTCTCTGCTTATTTCACTGGATTTAATGTTATTATTAATGTTTACTAATAGAATAGTGTTTAAAAGTGATAAATCATGGCATTGTAGCCAAGTTAACACTTCTTCATTGTAACCACCAAGCTACTGGGCCAAGCTGTGAGGTGTTATGGCTTTTCAACTCATATTTTCAGGTAGATATACGTAACCATTTTCATTTATTTTTACTCAGTTATATTCACACACCAACCAAAATACATAGTGTAAACATAGGTAAATGAAATAACTGTCCTAAGGGTAAACACATAATGGGAGGAGAGCACAGAGTGCAGCTGGTGGGGAGCGTTGCTAGGGAATTGGAGTCTCAGCTGATCTTCATTACTATGGTGGAGCAGGTAGTGTATGCAAATGGCAACAGTGTAAAACTTTCATTTGGCTTTAATATCAAAGCACAGACTTAAAGGAAAATGCGCCTGATTTTCATCTCTCAAGCCCAGAATAACAACAACTTGGGGGATAGAAACTAATAATTTGAGCGTATTGATACCAGAATCTTTCATATACTGTACAGTACAGTAAAATACTTATTTTTACCTTATTATTTGGCTTGTCATTAAAGCGTTCGACCTAGTCGACCACAATATAATCATCAACAAAGCTATTGACCTCGGGCTCCGGAGAAGTCTTATACCATGGCTTACAGACTTCCTCAGTGACCGACGCCAAGCTGTACGCTTCCGAGGGGCTGTCTCCACCTTTCAGTCAATCACATGTGGCGTCCCCCAAGGCACCAAGATGGGACCACTCTGCTTCCTTATGCTCATCAATGATGCCCTAAGAGAAATCCCTGCTCGCTGGAAATATGTCGACGACTCCACCATTGGGATCAGCGTCAACAATTCTGCTCCCAACTATACCGCCCTTCAGGATTAATTGAACAGTCTCCAAAACTGGGCCACCAACAACCATGTCACCATCAACCATACCAAGACCATGGTTATGCACATCAACCTCTCCTCCGACATTGTCCCACCTCCTTCCATTACTCTAGGTCCGAACACACTCAAGGTTGTAGATTCCACGAAGCTCCTCGGCGTCACCATAGACAACAAACTAAATTGGAAACCACACGTCAGTGAAGTTATCAAATCCTCCAGTTTCCGTCTCCACCTCCTCCGCCGACTCAAGTCCCTCGGAGTTCCTGCACACGAGCTCCTCAGTGTTTACACAACATTCATACTTCCCAAGCTCACCTATGCCTCCCCCACCTGGTCTTCCTCCCTAAATGCCACACAACGTAAACACCTAGAAAAAGTGCAAAAGAGGGCATGCAAGATTATTCTCTCCCCTTCCTACTCCACATATCAAGAAGCGCTCAACACACTGACCCTTTCGACTCTCACTGACCATCACCACGACCTCATCTGCAAATTTGGTAAGAAGCTTCTACACCATCCTCGACACCGGCTCCTACTACCACCTGAGATCCCTAGTCCGAGAATTGCTGTTCGACACCACAACCGCATCCAGCCCATACGTGCACGAACTGATCGCTATAAGAACAGCCCAGTCCCAACCATTGTAAAAATTATCGATAACTTGTAATAAATCAGTGTATTCACTCCCAGTAAACACTACTCCTTGCACTGTCACTATGTTGAAATGAACTGTAGTTTGAGCTTTTCCCCATCTAGTTATTATATGTCTTATTTGTGTCACTCATGTTACTTGTATATTATTTGTAATTCGTAACCCATTCCCCAAATATGTAACTGTATATTTTCAGTCTTCTGGCTGCCAAGCTCTTTCAATAAACCGTTAATTATTATTATTATTATTATTATTATTATTATTACACACACACACACACACACACACACTACTTTGCGGTCACTCGGAATCGAGTATGATGATCATCCAGCTATGATACAATGACATGAGTTATTAGGGATGTCACCTAGGTTGGTGAGTTTTGAGGTGACTATAGAGGCCGAAACAGGACTCGCAAGGTCATCCACATTCGCTGCACACGTGGAGGGCTGCATCTAGTGAGGGAGGGGCAGTGGCAGCGTCTTTCCGGCATTGGCGCTTGTCTGCCTCGGTTTGCAGTCGGGCTAACACGAAAGTATTGACACCTTCTCTTGTGGTGCTCCTCCAAGCGTTACGATGTGGAGTAATCGACTCCCAGGAGAGGAAGGTCGATTTGGCACTTTTTCAGGTTTGTCTTAAGATTATCCTTTTACCTTTTCAATTGCCCATCGGCATTATGTTTACCATTCGTTAGGTGACTGTAAAGTAGCTGCTTAAGCAGTCTACTGTCGTCCATGCGGGTAACATGGCCAGTCCGACGTAGCTCTTCATGGATAATGGTAGCCTCAATGCTCCTACAGTTGGTGTCAGCAAGAATACTGGCATTTGTTCTCTTGTCTTCCCAGCAAACTTGGAGTATGGAACATAGACTACATTGGTGAAAGTTTCCAAGTGCATGTGACCCATGTCTCACTGCCATATAGCAGGGTGGGGAGGACCACTGCTTGATATTAATGAAGCTTTGTAGATAATTTCAGCTCCCTACAGGTGAAGACACGGTTTCGGAGTCCTTGAGATGCACATCCGATCAGATGCTGAATCTCTTCATCGATGTCTGCGGTGGTGGACAGGTGGGAGCCGAGATACCGAAAGTGGTTAACATTAGAGGTTGGAAAAGAGAGTTGGTGCCAGAACACACCCTTGTTTAACCCCTGTTTGGATGGGGAAGAACTCAGACTGGGTGCTGGTGTGCAAGACACTGTCGAAGGCTTACCCTTCCAGAAGAAGGTGCAGCTGGCCCTCATCTGGGAGCTGGGACTCACTGATCGCTGCTATGTCAATGTAATACCTTGCCAGCTCTTTTGCCACAAGGGAGCAGCAGCAGTACAGTAGAACGTCGATGTAACACGAGATACATTACAAGAGAGGTCACATTAAACCGAATTTGCACTAAATCAAAGTGTTGTTTCAATGGAATAATTTAGTTTGGTACTTGAGAGAAACACAAAATACTAAAACGATTGACAGTCTACCCAGATGCACCTCAGCCCATCTAGAATAAACAAAACATTGATTTTTGTAGTATTATGTTAAAACAAACACTTATAAATCATTACAGCTAAAATTATGGGGGATGTGAAATGGTCTGTTTACAGCAGCAGCAGCAGCAATAAACAAGAATTTACAGATGCCATTGCTCTAAGGTACGGTAGGCCAGTAGAAGGTTTGCCCTCCCAATGCGTGTGTGGCTCTTCCTATGACGTCGATCACGCCATGGTGTGCAAGAAAGAGGGTTTCATATGCATGAGCCATGATGAAGTAAGGGATCTCACAGCAAATATGTTGAAGGAAATCTGCCGTGATGTCAGGGTAGAACCGACTCTCCTTCCATTGGACGGTGAAATTTTCCAACATAGGACTTCAAACACATCCAACGAAGCCCGTGTTGACGTCAGTGCTCAAGGATTCTGGACGCAGGGACAGCGAGCCTTCTTCTACATCAGGATTTTTTATCCCATGGCCGCATGTCACCGTAACTTAGCTCTCGATGCTGCACACAGGAGGAACGAGAATGACAAGATATGGGCATACGGGGAGAGAATTCAGAATGTTGATCAAGGCAGCTTCACTCCTCTAGTGTTCACAACCTCTGGTGGGATGGGACCAAGTGCAAGATGCTTCTACGCCAGACTCGCGGAGGTGATATCTGAACAGAAGCAGCAGCCCAGAAGTTATGTTACGGCCTGGATGAGAAGTCAAGTGTCCTTCTCTCTCCTTCGGTCGGCTTTGCTTTGCCTCAGGGGAAAGAGAGCATCGGCCCCAAACCCGACAACAGTTGCAGATATTGACTATGAGGCTAGTCACTGAATGCCGTATAGATCTGCGACTCAACTAACCCAACACAGCTAGGGTAGCTACTTATGTATTAGAATATTTAATATAAAGGTAATAAAATGGTGGCAAAGGTTTGGCTATTGGGGGGGGCTGGAGGCCATTTTGCTTAAAAAAAAAATAGTAGTAGTAGTAGTACTAATAAACGCTGCTCCAACAGTAGCCGATGTCCACCAGGTGAATGACAGACAGCCAAGACAGTGGAACGGCATTTCGATGGAAAATGCGGACATATGGGTTAAAGAAACTTACTCAGAAATTGTCAGGTGGTTGCCAGCTAACCTATTTGAACCACCCAAGTGTGCAGCCACCAAAGAAACGATTCGGGAGATGACTCGCCTCATAACCGAGTACACTCAGGACTGCTTCCTTACCCCTTTAGCTCTTCAAATACTGGCAATAATACCCCATCTATTCTGTCAGAGGACATGCAAGGAATAAGCAGAAAGAAAATGTGGCAGCAATGAAGAGAAGATTGACAATGTGGCAGAATGGGGCCCTTGATGATCTCCTATGTGAAGCAAGAACACTGCAGGAGAGACTAAAATTTAGGGGAGACGAAAAGCAAAACAACGATGACGTTGCCAGAAAGTTTGGAAACAAGATGCGTGTGGGAAATATGTCTTTGGCAGTCAGATCTCTCACAGAGGAATCCTCCGGGGGTGTCCTGCCAATAAAGAGGGAAAATAAAACAACTGGAAGAAAAACATCCCCTTGCAGGTGGGATGGTGTGGAATAAAAGCACTGAAAACTCAGGGAGGGGCCGGCCCTTTAGGCCTGGATGCAAACGGTTGGAGAGTCATCCTCAGCACTAACAAGTTTGGTGCCGTAACAAGTGATCTCTGCAATGCCACCGCCGCCCTTGCAAGAAGGATAGCAACCTCGTGCTGCCACCACCTCCATGCTCTGACAGCCTGCTGCCTCATTCCCCTGGATAAGAATCCAGGATGAAGGCCTATAGGGGTGGGGGAAGTGCTGAGGCGGATCATCGGAAAATGCATATTTGCTACAATGTTTGTGACAGGCTGGAGGGGAAGCTGCCATTCACGCCATGAGAACGATATTTGAGCAGCGTGAATGTGAGGCAGTTCTCTTGGTTGACGCATTCAACGTACTCAACCGCAAAGCTAAACTGCACATCATCAAGATCAAGTGTCATAGCTTTGCAATATATGTTGAAAACACCTATAGGAATCCATCAGACCCCTATATAACAAACATCAAGGCTCTAAGAGGTGATACCATCATACAGTCAACTGAGGGAACAATGCAGGGGGACCCTGTTGCATGGCAATGTATGCAATAGGCCTATCAGTGCTCCAACACACAATAAAATGTGAAACAACCGAGGTCAAGCTAGTGGCATATGCTGACAACCTTACAGGAGCAGGAAAAGTGGAGGACATCAAAAAGTGGTGGGATTTGATAACATCACATGGTCCACAAATAGGGTACCACCCAAATGCCAGCAAGTCCTTCCTCATTGTGAAGCCAGAACACCATGAACAGGCAATGGAGGGGTTCGGTGAAAGTGAGGTCAAAATAACAAAGGATGGCCAAAGACACCTTGGTGCAGTAATTGGCACAAAGGACTTCAGGACCCCTCCTTCACCCTCTGGAAGAAGCCATTAGCGTCAATTTCATTCCAAAATTAGTGAAACACCTTCACTTAACACCAGCAGAAAGGTCACTCCTTGCACTACCACCAAGACTGGGAGTAATGGGATTGACCAATCCAGAGGAGATTGCTGCCACCGAAAATCAAAACTCAGTTAAGCTCACGGCAGCCCTCACCAACCACATAATAGTTCAAAACGTAACAGGGGAGGTGGATACCAGTGAAGTAAACAAGATTCGACGGTTCATTACGACAAAACGACAGCACGGCCAAAGTGATAAGTTACAGCAACCGATGCTGCAAGTACCAGAGAATTTGAAAAAAAGTAGCTATAGCGCAGGAGGTGGGCGTCTCGAACTGGCTAACTGCGTTACCGATAAGGGCAAAAGGTTTCAGTCTTAATAAACAAGAATTTACAGATGCCATTGCTCTAAGGTACAGTAGGCCAGTAGAAGGCTTGCCCTCCCAATGCATGTGTGGCTCTTCCTATGACGTCGATCACGCCAGAGTGTGCAAGAAAGGGGGCTTCGTATGCATGAGGCATGACGAAGTAAGGGATCTCACTGCAAACATGTTGAAGGAAATCTGCCATGATGTCAGGGTAGAACCGACCCTCCTTCCATTGGACAGTGAGAATTTCCAACATAGGACTTCAAACACATCCAACGAAGCCCTTGTTGACGTCAGCGCTCATGGATTATGGACGCGGGGACAGCGAGCCTTCTTCTACATCAGGATTTTTTATCCCATGGCCGCATGTCACCGTAACCTAGCTCTCGATGCTGCACACAGGAGGAACGAGAACGACAAGATTAGGGCATACGGGGAGAGAATTCAGAACGTTGATCAAGATTGCCGAGATGTCCTCATCACCTGAGTTGTGTACAGTACAGGACTCTTTTTCATTAGTTTGGTAGTTTTTTGTTGTTCATCATGATTTCATGCTTTTGGGATGTGATATTAGGGTTTTCTTGTCATTGGGTAACCAAACCCTATTTTTCCCATATGTTATGTTATTCAAGATACAAAATTCACCTAAAGAATGGTTTTCAAGGAACATAACTCATTCATTAAGTGCGGGATACCTATAACTAAAAACACTCAACAAATGAAAAAAGATCACCGACTTTTACCTATCATATTTGATCTGATTATTGGGCATTCATTCATCATCTACAAACACTACTGTACTGCTGGGAGAAGTGACTCCAAACAGCAACACTGTGGTATACTGTACATTACAGTATAACTAATATATCTGTAGGTATAAGGCTATGGTTATTATATGATAAAAAATATAACAGTCACACTAACCTGTTTCATTTAGACGTCTAAAAATATCTTCTCCTTGCCAGGATGAAGCCACTGGCTTCTCGAGAACGTCATCATTACGGAGTGTCCAGTAAAAGGCTGCTATATCAATAGAAGTTTCTGCACCATCTATAAGAGATGCCCAAGCGCTATAGATGCTATCATACTGTACACTCCCTGGGCTGTAGGTCAAATTCTCTGGAATGCTCTCAACTAAACGAAAACTGGAAAAGAAAAATAATATAGAATTAAAAAAAAATACACAGTACAGTATACAGTTATTTTTGTTTATGTTAACAGTTAAGACATCACAAATTAATTCACCTAAGTGTAGTATATAAAACTAACAAGCCATCTCAAGCACTAATTAAATTATCTACTTTAAGATCTAATGGCCATTCAACAAAGAACCTGTGAGATTCCTTCCCTTAGCTTGTCCATGAGGCCATGTGCATTTTCACAGTAAGGATGCTGTCCTTTTAGATACTGTATATATATAAATTGTTGCAGAATAGCTACTTTCCCATTTGAACCAGGGTTTATGATGCAAGCTTCAACCAAGATTCAGCGGTTACTTACAAATACAGTGAGTCATTAAAACAAGGTACTGTACTGTAGACTCAGACAGGGGAGAGGGTTTTCTGGTAGGTGGCTCTATCATGTCATTTTTCTCTTTCCCTCAGCCATGAAATGGCATCTCAAATGTCAATCTTTCACTTTATTTAAATATTCACAAAACTACAAAGGCTAACAAACCTGCACTGATCACATGAGGAGTACTTGCTCTGGTTGCGGGATATGTTATCGTCCAAGAGAGCCATGGCCATAATCAACATGGAGAGTGTGACAACTATGGTGATTGGAACACAGGAAGGCCGAAGCCAGTCCCGCAACCATGATTTTCCGGAACTTCGCCCACCTTGCATCTTTCGCATGTGATTGTGTAATATGCTATTATACCTGAAAAAAATATCAGAAAACAATAAACAATAAAATTAGTATACTGTACATCATGGCATCCCACACCAAATGATGATAATTTCAATGAAGACTCATTTTGAGAACTCATCATTTCACGGCCATTTGATTTGACAATCAATTTACAATACTTTACTTATACATTGGTACATACCCATCTTATAACTCTCTTGTATCAGGTACCCTCCATAATTGTGTACTGTGTATCAAACAATTACCCATGTAAACTGGCATATGAGGTGATGTGGCACATAAGACGAACACCAAATATTCATTTTAAAATTGAAGTTTTAGGCTATACTAAGACAGTTATAAAATATGAACCCTAGTTATATGGTGTAAGTTGTCACCATGGGTGACCTTAAGGAAATATCTACAAGTACAGAAAAAAATCTTCCTTAATTCAAGAATAAAGCAAATTGGGTGAAATAATAGCACTTTTCCTATTCAATGGTGCCAGCTAGCACCAGAATGTGTGTAGTCTGAACACTTCAGAGACAATAATAATATAATACTGTAGTAAAGAAAACCAACACACACTGGTTCCCAGATGCAAGGTGGTGTCAGGTGATGCTCTTTTCCTGCCTACCACCATATGACTTAACCCTTACGCCCTGGGCTAGGGTGCTGCTGGCCATACCCCCAACGCGGGGTAAAACGAGAAAAATCAACTTTTCCAAAAAATAATTTTTAACATTTATAAATGATAAAACAATAAAAAAGATGAAAGAAAAACTATACATTGTCCCTCTATATTCTTCCGTGGTGCCTCAGTGACGAGACAAATTCGGTGAAAGTTTTTTTTTTACATCGAGCACTCGCTGTCACTACGCACTTAGGGGTCATTTTCCCGTTTGCCTTTGTGTCTGAGTTGGCCAATTATGCGTTTATTTACTGATGATAATACTTATTTCCTATAAATAATTAATTTAGACTTTATTTTATTTGCATTACTCTTCACAAGAAGCTCTCAGTGAGACACACAGACAACTTTTAGTAATACAGTGGTCCCTCGGTTAACGAACGGTTCGGTTAACGAAATTTCGGTTAACGAACCACCTTTCAAAAGAATCTTCAATTCGGTTAATGAAAAAAATTTGATTAAAGAAATCCTTACAAAAACATGTCAACATGTTTTGGCTTGCGCATCGGCTGGTAGGCTATTCTGCCAATACAGTATACAGTTAACCCTCACTTTACGCGGTCCCGCATTCCGCGTTTCCACGTTAACGCGGTGCCTTGCCAGAACCTCACGTGCTCACATTACGCGGTACGTGAACCCCATTACGCGGAGAGTGTCCGGCGCGACGCTATTTTTAGATTCGCCCCACCCGCCCGCCTGCCTGCCTGCCTCTCCCTCCTCCTCCCTCCGCTTGGGCAAGCGTATGTCTTTGTTGCGTTATCACTGACGTCATATGACGTATCAGACCTGTGATTGGCCATGCATCCCTACCCCCCTCTGCTGCTAGCTGTAATTGGCTTAAAGTATTATGACGTGTCCACCAGGGGGAGGGAGGGAGGGAGGGAAGAAAGACGACGCTTGACCTAGCCGCAGCAGTTTCATCCCTCAAGGCCACTCCGTGTAAACGCGCATCCATTGTTCCGTAAAATGGCTTCCGCTGGACCACCACCCCCAGAGAGAAACCTTTCCTTACCTGGACCCAGCGGCACTAAACCAAAGAAGACACGACGTTCCTTAAGCTACGAGGTGAAGTATACCATCATCCAAGAGTTGGAGAAAGGAACAAGGCAGGTTGATTTGGCGCGCCAGCATGGCGTGAACGAATCTACGATCCGGACTATAAAGAAGGATTCAGCCAAGATAAAGGAGCACATGAAGATCACAAAGTCTACAGGTGCTTCTATATCAAGTATTTTCACAACCAGGTGCTTCTCAAGACAGAAAAATTACTTGTGAGGTACTTGGTGCGTCAGGCGCGACGGAACATGGCGGTCGACACGTGCTCTGTTAAGGACTACGCACGTGAACTGTACATGGCAGTGGCACGAAACATGGGAACTTCAGAGCCCAAACCCTTTAATGCTTCCTCTGGGTGGTTACAGAGGTTTAAGATCCGGAACAAGATCACCAATATAAACATTGGTGGTGAAGAAGCGAGTGCTGATCGTGCTGCGGCTCGGGAATTTCCTCCGTTTTTACGTGAGATTATGGAGGAAGGACAGTACAGTGACGACCAGGTGTTTAACATGGACGAATCTGGTCTTTTCTGGAAAAAACTACCTTCCAAGTCCTTCGTTGTGAAGAATGCCAGCAGGATTCGGGGCCGGAAAATGCAGAAGGAACGCATCACCGTCCTGTTTACCACCAATGCCTCCGGTACCTGTAAGCTCAAGTTATCGGTGATCCACACAGCCCGCAAGCCGCACGCCTACAAGAGCATGGACATAACCAAGCTAAATGTCCACTGGCTGACCGCACGTAAGGCATGGATGTTCTCTACACTGTCCCTCTCCTGGTTTGATGACTGTTTTGTTCCCGATGTAAAGAAATTCTGTGAGCGACAGAATGTCCCATTTAATATTTTGTTGCTGCTGGACAACGCACCAGGACACTCGCCCCTACTGTTAGATCGTCACCCCAACGTAAAAGTGGTCTTCCTTCCTCCCAACACTACGTCTTTAATCCAGCCCATGGACCAGGAGTTGATTTGCAATGTGAAAGCTGCATTCTCAACAAAAAAATTCCAGCTCCTGAACGACTACACCAACACCAGGGAAGAGTTGCGTAACCTGAGTGACACCACCACCGATAGCAAGAGCGAAGAAGATGAGGATCAACAGTTAGAACAGCAAAAAATACTCTTCAAACAATTCTGGAGAGTATTTAACATCAAGAAAGCTGTGGACTTCTTGGTGGAGTCATGGGATCAGCTGTCTATTGCTACAATTCGTCACGCATGGAGACATGTGTTGCATGGAATACCAGGTGAGAGGAGGAGTCAATCTGTGACTGGTGAGGTTCAGAATGTTGCAGTAGCAGTGGACCTTGCCAGAGAAGCTGCGCAGACTGTTACAGTTCCAGGCTTCTCCGAGACCACCAACGACGACATCCTGGAGGTGATCAGAGATCCTGAAGTGACTGCCGACGAGATGTTGGAAGAAGAACACGTCAGTGAAGAGGAGGAAGAAGGTGCGTCAGTCTCCGAAGAACACAATTTAAGTCATAGTGATATTAACCCTTTGGATGCGACATGCGGGTAAACCCGCCCAAAATATTATATTAATTAAATGCGACAAGCGGGGATATCCCACGGCCTTGAAAAAACTTCCCCAAATGAGACGACATGCGGACATATCACAGGAACCTTCAAATCGCCACCACCCGCCCAACTGCTGCCACCTGACGCTCGCCCAGACAACTACACTCAGACTGAAGTGCTTTTGTTGACGTCCGGTTCTAGCATTTGCGGTAGGTGAATTATTGTCATTTTGTGGATATTAGTTATGTTTTTGCTTGTTATAGCATATGTATATAATCAGTATATCATCAAGTATAAGCTGATATACCAATATAAGCTTGATATTCTATAATAAGGTGGGAAAATGTACGTAAATGTCATTATTTACCAATTTTGTTCTGGAATTTTTTTTTTTTCCATTCTTTTTTATATGCAGCCAAGTGTATTATTCATATTTTATTATGTTTGTGATCAGCTTATGGGCGCTATAGGATACTCTGATATTCATATAGTTGTTTTATGTCCTCTTATAGGATGTATGGGCGTCTGTGATTGGTGAGGGACGTGAAGTGTTTGGTTACTTTCTGGCCAGCTGTGCGATCAGCTGTTTGGCGGTATTGGGACTCGTGACGTGAGTGGACATTTAACTATTTTATTTCGTTTATTCATCATGGAATTCATTGGGATTTTCTTATTTACTTGTTTACTGTAATAATTTATTATTTGTAATCGATTTATTATTTTATTGTTATAGTTACATTGACATTGACATTGACAGCTAAGAAGTTTTTGATGTTAGTGTTCATGTTTTCCAATTTTTTTATCCCACAGTAATCATGAGTGGTAAGAAAAGAAAGCTTAGGACTGACAGGGAGATCCAAGCTGCATTATTTGAAGCTTTTGACAGTGAGGAGGAGGCAGAACGTGTAGATGATCCTGCTGTCTCTGCTGTTGATGACAGTAGTGACACTGCTGAGGACGACACAGATGACACATCACCACGTCCAAGTACCAGCTCTGCTACAGAAGCTCCACGTCGACATAGGGACAGATCACCAGCTGCACGTATACATAGGGACAGGTCACCAGCTCCACATCTACTTAGGGACAGTTCACCAGATTCACAGCCACGTAGTAGGTCAGGTACACCTGAACCACCCCAGGTACACGAGATTATACATGGCAAAAGACAATATATACTGAAGGACAGAATTACCCAGACTTAGACAGTATTCCTGCTTTCACTGGTCAGCCAGGTGTACAGGGTTTTGATAATCTGAATCCATACCAATGTTTCACTCAATTTTTTCCCATGCCAATTTATGACTTAGTTGCTACGGAGACAAACCGTTATGCTAAGCAAAGGTTAGATGAAATAGGAGAATTACCTAGAAGGTCGAGGTTTAGGCAGTGGAAGGATGTACATTCCCAGGAAATAAAAGCTATGGTAGCAATGGAAATTGGAAAGGGACTGGTTCACAAGCCCACCTTGCAATCATATTTTCAGGATTCCTATTGGCTTACACGAACACCTGGTTTTGGTAATATTTTTTCTAGGGACCAGTACATGCTACTAAAGTCGTTTGTACATTTTGCCAATAATGAGGACCAAGGTGAAGATGATATTCCTGACAGATTATTCAAAGTTAGAAAACTAATTGACCTGGTAAGTAATACATATGCTGCTGCTTATATCCCCAACAAAGAAATATGTGTGGATGAGAGCATGCTCAAATTCAAGGGGAGACTTTTTTGGAAACAGTACCTGCCTAGTAAACCTAGTACAAAATGGGGAATAAAACTGTGGTCTTTCTGTGACTCCCATACTGGTTTTCTCGTAAGATTTCAGATATATACAGGTAAGGAAGCAGCAACACAAGAGCACGGATTGGGCTATAGGGTAGTAAAAGATTTATTACAAGGCTATGAAAATCAGGGATATATTGTGTACATGGATAACTTTTACTCCAGTTTACAGTTGTATGAATATCTTAGAGTGAAGAAAATAGGTGCATGTGGCACAGTACGTGCAAACAGAAAGGGATTGCCTAAAGAAATGAAGAATATGAAACCAAAGCGTGGTGCACTTCCAACAATCTGGGAGAATGCAAACAAAACAATGCTTGCATGTACATGGCAAGACACGGGTAAAGTCAATATGTTGGCCACGGTGGGTAATGTAGGAGTAACTGGTGTTGAAGTACATGCAAAAACAGGTTTGAGGACTGTAAAAAAACCAAATATTCAGGTTATGTATAATAAACATATGGGAGGGGTGGACAAATTTGACCAGTTGTGCTCAACCTATCCTTTTGAACGGAGACATAAAAAGTGGTATCAGACTCTGTGGCATTTTTTTGTTGAAACAGCACTAGTCAATGGTTGCATTTGTTATAATATACAAAATCCCTTGAAGAAGATGTCACAGAGGACATTTAGGGAAAATGTAATAGATGGGTTGCTGCAAGGGTATAATAGAAGAATTCTAAAGAAAAGAGGTCGCAGGAGTAATGACCCAACAGATTTGAGGTTGGTACAGCGCCACTTTCCTAGGAACAATAAACTGAAACAAAAGTCTGCACCAAACTGTGTTGTATGTAGCATACTACCTTCAGAGTGTACAAAAAAAGGGAAGGGTAGTTGCAAGCGTAAACAGACAAGCTATTACTGTGAAATGTGTGTTGCAAAGCCACCATTGTGTATTGCACCGTGTTTTGAGGAGTATCACACCAAGGTAAAGTATAAGAAAACTTGTGCCTGCACTGCAAATGATGACTAAAATATGTCATAAGTAAATATGAAATTGGTAAATGATAATATGTAAATGACATGCATGCATCGTATTGGCTTGTCGATTTTACATATTTGCCGTGTTTTGCATGATTATGTATTGAGGTATAGGAGTATTTCCTGAATGCAATATAGCTTATTTTTGTACTATTTTGTTTGATATTATCTGAATATGTAATACATATCTAAATTTGCTGTTTAGTAACCAAATTGATTAAATTTATTTGCCATATACCAGACATTGATTTATACCAATTTCCTGCATTTTTGGGTATAAATGTCATTTTTTCTCTAAAATTTGCACACATATGTGAATTTTTGTTCCAGATTTGGAAAATATACTGAAAGTTCTCTAGGAAAAACATATAGAAAATGTGATTATATGAAATTCATTTTTGGCAGGATAATTGACACTTTTCAGGAACCGGCGCGAAATTTAATTACGCACCTATACCCCTAGACCCCGACTTACGACGGGGTTAGGGACCCAAATCCAGGTCGTAAGTCCGACATGGTCGTAAGTCCGACATAGATAAAAAAAAATCTACAATGAAATACAGTACAGTAAAAGTAATGAATAATGATGAATGGATACAGTATAGTGAAAGTAATAAATAATAAGGAATGGATACAGTGTGACTGAGCACTTAACCTTTAATGTAGTCAGCTGAATGCACATGGGGCCTCCATAATATTCTAATTATACATGGAGACTACATTAACTGGAAACGTTTCGGTATAGAAAATGCGTGTGTCATTTAAAACAATTTTTTTTTTTTTTTTATCTATATCTGAGGCGGTCGTAAGGCACAAATTGGGTTGTGACTACACTTTTAGCACAAATCGTTTTACCCTCAAGATAGGGATAAATTTTGATCAGAAATATTTAGTAACAATTTTAACGGCATCTGGAACCCTTAGGCGACAGCTGTCACATAGCAGCAACCGCTCAGTCTTTGTTTAGGTTGCGTGGGTGGAGGTTATTGTACCCATGTGAGCGCCACGTGCCGTGATTTTACGCCTGAGTTACAGTGCTTTATCGTGTGATTTCTGGGTCTTTAAGATGTCCAGGAGAGTTACTAAGCGTGAGGATATTGCACAGGTGATTGGTTTATACAAGGCTAATCATAAAGTTACTGAAATAGTTGAATTAACCGGTGTGTGCCGCCAGTCAGTGTACCGATTCATCTCGGAGTTTGAGGCAAACAGTCGGGAAGAGTTGCCTACCCCTAAACCCAAGTCTGGGCGACCACGGCTTACGTCTCCTAGAACCAGGAAGGTGATTGCTAGGCAAATTAATGCTAATCCTAAGCTCACGGCCTGGGAATTAAAGCAAGCTAACCCCGGACTCCTTGGTCACGTCTCCTTAAGGTCGGTGCAGCAGCTTCTTCATGACGATCTCGGTTATCGCGCCTACCGCCCACGCCGTAAGCCCCTGCTGACTGCTGCCCAGAAGAAGAGGAGGATCACTTTTGCGAAGAAGTACAGTGTCTGGTCCCTTCAGGATTGGAGGAACGTCCTGTGGAGTGATGAAGCCACGTTTACAGTTAGTGATTGTGGTCACGATAGGGTGTACCGCCGGCCAGACTCTGACCCGCTCGACCCCAGGCACACCGTCAAGACGGTCAAGCATCCTGATTCAGTGATGGTATGGGGTTGTTCACTTATTACGGTGTTGGTGAGTTGGTTGTGCTTGAAAAAACATTAAAGTTAACCAGGGTGTGTACCTCGAGCTTCTCTGTGACGTTCTGCCTGACTCGTTTGAGAAAACACGCGCCGTCGTGTTCATGCAGGACGGTGCTCCCTGCCACACAGCCAAGTCGGTTACTCAGTGGTTGGAGGATTGCCAGGTTTCATATTTTAAGGACTGGCCTGGCAATTCCCCCGACATCAACCCTATTGAGAACCTTTGGGGGGCTCATGAAACGTCGCCTACGTGACCTCGACACCTCGTCCTTCCCCAAGCTCACCACAGCAATAAAGCAACTGTGGGCCAATTTCACCCCACAGCACCTGCAAAACCTTGCAGACAGTGTTCCACAACGACTGAAAGAGGTGCTGAAGAGGAAGGGAAACACAACAAAATACTAAGAGGGGTGGGTGAGTGTTATTTTCATTTTTTTATTGCCTTACCATGATTTTTTTATTTTTTCCCCACGGCGTACCTTAACCTTCCACGTAGACTGTATATATATATATATATATATATATATATATATATATATATATATATATATATATATATATATATATATATATATATATATATATATATATATATATATATATTATATATATATATACATACAGTGGGGTATGCTATAACGAACGGATCCTACTACGAATATTCCTATAACGAACGGTTTTACCTATAAAATTGAGAATGCTATAACGAACGAAACTCCTACAACGAACATTATTTAAATTTTTTTTTTTTTCTAATTTATTGTTTTTTTATTACAAATATTAAATGATATTCTTTATTTCAGGGGTTTAGATGCATATTTATGCACTTTTTTACAATTTTTACAATTTTATATTATATTTTTCAGTGTTAAGTGGTTGTATTTGGGGGCCTGGAACGGATTAATCCTATAACGAACGAATGCTATAACGAACAAGGTTCTAGAACCAATTAGATTCGTTATAGCATACCCCACTGTATGTATGTATGTATGTACAGTATGTATGTATGTATGTATGTATATACAGTATTACCCCGCTTAACGCGCTTTCACTTAACGCGTTTTCGCATATACGCGGTGCCTTGCCAAAGCTGAACTTTCACTTAACGCGGCATTTTTCATCATATACGCGGTGAGAGTCCGGCTCGAGAGCTATTTTTAGATTCGCACCACCCCCCACCCGCCACCCTGCCTGACTGCCTGTTTTAGCTCATAAAATTCATACAAATTACCCAGCCAGAATATAATTTACATTGCTGGAATTCTTATAATTTGGTGATCATTTTGAATATAAACATCATATATTTTGCATTAAACATACAATTTTTAGATAAAAATTGTTCTCTAGGTAATTATGTTATCTTTTGTCCAAAATATATGACATTTATATTCAAAATATTCCTGGTCTTACAAGGAATCCAGCAATGTCAATTATATTATCCTAACTTTAGTTTGAGGTATTATTTATTAAAATTTAGTGGTTATCCCACATATCTCCTTGGGACGGTTGGTGGGGGGTGGGGGGGAGGGAGGGACCAACCGACCGACCATCTGTTACCCGGTGAAGAATTATTTTTTTTTAACTGAAGATATTTGTTTTAGCTCATAAAATTCATACAAATTACCCGGTCAGAATATAATTTACATTGCTGGAATTCTTATAATTTGGTGATCATTTTGAATATAAACAACATATATTTTGCATTAAACATACAATTTTTAGATAAAAATTGTTCTCTAGGTAATTATGTTATCTTTTGTCCAAAATATATGACATTTATATTCAAAATATTCCTGGTCTTACAAGGAATCCAGCAATGTCAATTATATTATCCTAACTTTAATCTGAGGTATTATTTAATACTAAATGTTAAAAACTCTTGAATGGAGGATTGGTGGGGGGTGGGGGGGAGGGTTGGGACTGACCACGCGGTTGGAAGAGGGGGGAAGGCAAGGTGGGGTACTTTGATTGACAGATAGTGTCGAAGAATATTTTTTTTTTTTTATTAACTGAAGATATTTGTTTTAGCTCATAAAATTCATACAAATTATCCGGCCAGAATATAATTTACATTGCTGGAATTCTTACAATTTGCTGATCATTTTGAATATAAACATCATAGATTTTGCATTAGACATACAAATTTTAGATGTAAAGTTTATTCTGAGTAAATATGTTATCTTTTGTGAAAAATATATGACATTTATATTCAAAATATTCCTGGTCTTACAAGGAATCCAGCAATGTCAACTATATTATCCTAACTTTAGTTTGAGGAATTATTTATTACTATACCTGGTTTTCCCCCAAAAATTTCTCAGAGGGAAGAGCCAGTGAGTGTAGTGTGAGAAGAGGGGGAGGGAGTTGAGTCCATTATTTGAATGGACATTAACTTGGCGACTGTATTTCTCTATTTCTCTTAAGTATTAATTGTGTGCATGTACCATCATAAAATTAAGATGTTATTTTTACTACAACATAGTTATTTGTCGTCAAAAAGTGGAGTTTGGGGGTCGGGCTGGGTTCTATTGGAATTAATCCCATATGTTCTGTTATTCACTTAACGCGTTTTCACTTAACGCGGGACCCTCTGGGTTCAATTGACCGCATTAAGTGGGGTACAACTGTATATATATAATATATATATATATATATTATATATATATATTATATATATATATATATTATATATATATATATATATATATATATATATATATATATATATATATATATATATATATATATATATACAGCATCTCCGTTAAATCTAACTCAACTGCTTCCAGAAGGTCGTTCGTTAATCCTAAAAAAGTTCGGTTAACCTAAAACCATTGTTTTTGGGTAATTGTCTAGCTCACCGAAAATTTCCTAACTAACAAAAAATGGTGAAAAGTTCACTTACTTTTGAGGTGTGTATGTAGAAGGCCCTGGATGATGATGATGATGTTGTTTAACTTCAGGTATAGACGAGGTGCCACCCGTCAAATACATTTACAGGGTGAAACCAGTCCGCACATTGGGACCTTAAAATTTTGGGCAGATACAGTACCCTGTACAACAAAGCTTCTAATAACGAGACAGAATAGTCTCCGAATAATGGCATGTAAATCATCGTGTTAGAATCACGATTACCTTTAAAATAATACTGTAAAGCATTAAGAGTAGATAGGAAGTCAAAGTCTGACCTTTTACATCTTTTGCATTTTACCCTCTTTTTTCCAAAACAAAAGAATAAAAAACCATATTTTAAATAATGCAGACACGTAATTTAGCTCCTTAAAAATTTGCGAATAACTTTTATCTAGAGACCAAGGTGGGATTTCTAGATGATCTGAGACGACAAATTCTTGGGTTCAGGTGTAACATGAACTTAAATGAGGCCAACCAATATTTGAAGATGCAAATGTTGACCTTGGAAGTGCCTCAACTTGCAAAGGAACAGAAATCTAAAAAATTTCTAACACCACTGTGTCTGCCACGTGATTGAGTCGCTAACC